GTCTCACCTGAAGATAGCTTGAACGATCTTGGGAGGGAGGCTAGAGAAACTTTTGCACCATTAGTCCCGCCATTGTAGCATCTCCTGGCAATAGACCCTAGCAATTAATGATCTAGGAATTACTTACTGTTGATGCCTAGTTACTACATAGCACAATGATTATGCATATCATTATATTTTTGTCAAATTAAATTTTTAAAAGTTTTAATTTCAACCCTAAATCCTGAGTGGGTTTATATGTATTTAGTCCTCATAAACTCATATAAGTAAAGAAAGTGTTCTTTACTTTCTCTGTATCCTTCAACCTACAAGTTAAAAAACACAAAATACAACACTGCTCTCAAGTGATACTTTTAAGAAAGAAGTATACTTCTAATGTCCAAATAATACATAATATAGTCATTTTGAAAGTCTGCACATCTCTGAGTGGGAGTTGCACATAAAAAAAGAAAAGCTGCGCATCCTAACAGAATTCCTCACAGCAGGACATTTTCATGCTCAGTCTTGTATTTTAGCACATACTAAAGAGTTACACATCACAGTGTGTCTGTAATATGGTGGGCTTCTCAGATATGGCTGGACTTGACTAACAGTAGTCTTTTAAAAACAAATGCCACGGTACCATTATTATTTAGTTAATATACATTAAGCTTTGAAAACGGTGCAATAAATCTACTTTTAGTAAGTATTTTGGTTACTTTGATTTAAACTTACCAGCAACTGAACAGTATCTTTCCCTAAAAGATGAAGAATCTTGTAAATGCTTGCAAAGATTAAGGGGTAAGTGTAACCCCTCAATTTCTCTGTCCATTCCCAAGTCAAATAACCATAATTAGTAACATTAAGGATCAAATGTCAAATAAAATTGAAACCTATTTCCTTTTTTTTTTAAGATGGGGTCTCACTCTTGCCCAGTCTGGTCTCAAACTCGGGCTCAAGTGGTCCTCCTGCCTCTACAGGTGTACACCACTTCACTTGGCAAAATATATTTTCATTTCCACCTTTAAAACAATATTTTATTTTTTGGCAAAGTCTTAAAACAGTATTTTATACTGGATATTTGCATTAAAAATACAACTGGCCAGCTAAACTCCTAACTTCTTCAAGGCAGTAATGTGTTCTTTACTTTCTCTGTATCCTCCAAGTGCTAAGCACTATGGGAATGTATACTAATGACTGTGTCAAGTATATTAACATAGAAAGACAGGAGAAATTTAGTATAAAATAATAGCACTTTGATGAGTTAAAATTATTTGGGGAAAATGTGGAAAACTGAAAACATGTACAGTAGTCCCCCCTTATCTGTGGTTTCACTTTCCATGGTTTCAGTTGCCCATAGTCAATTCAACCACTGTCTGAAAATATGAGGATATTTTGAGAGAGAGACAGAGACCATGTTCACATAACTTTTACTATAGTATTGTATTATACTTGTTTTATTTTAATACTGTTAATATTGTATCTAATTTATATAAACTTTATCATAAGTATGTGTATATATTTTATACATATAAAAACAACATATATAGAGTTTGGTTCTGTCTACAGTTTCAGGCATCCATTAGGGATCTTGGAAACCATCTCCTGAAGACGAGGGAGCAGGGGGGACTACTCTAAAAGAAACTGAACACAATTGCTAAGATGAATACTCATCTGGAAGAGAAACCACAAAGGATATTTGAAAACCATGTGATGTGCAACTTCAAGAGACTGCCAGTACTCATCTGGAACAAAACTTGTCTGCACTAAAAAGCAGTTTAATATTCGTAAAGCTATGGTAAACAAGAGCAGATAAAGATTTTCTCCAAGAAGATCTGAAAAACAGACAAAACAGGTAATTGTGGCACAGAAGTCAGGCAGTTTCACTTGCAGAACTTAAAATCTGCTGCTCTGGTTGCCTCTTGCTGAGGCTCTGCCAAGGCACAGTAGTGAATTCTGGCCCCTCCTCACCATTCTCAAAGCCAATCGGGGGAAGGTTTTACAAGGACCGTGGCCTCATCACTGGGTCACTGCCACTCTTTTAGTTTAACCAACTTTTCTTGCAACTTATTGTATAAAGATGATATTAAAATACTAAAAAAAAAAGACTGGGTTAACTAAGGGCTTAGGCTAATTAATTAGGTCATTCTACGTGTGTACCTAATGAAAGAAACCAGCTAATAAATTATTAATTTGAGAAGCAACCCTTTGTATATGTGCAATATAAAATGGTCCTCTGTACATTTTAAAATATATTGATGCTTACCATTATATATGCCAGGCACTGTGTTAATTCCTTTGCATGCATCTCACTTAATCCTCAAAACAATATTACGAGATAGGTATTACTAGCCCCATTTTACAGACAAGCAAATTGAGGCTCAGAAATTAAACGGCCTTGTCCAAAGAAAGCTGTAAATTACTCATCAGGATTCAAACCCGGTTCTGTCTGCTGTCTCCAAAGTCTTGCTCTAAATCACAAACGGGCAGCCTGCCTGTCGGCCAAATACAAAGTATTTTTTAAAAATCTGAATTTAGTTGCTAACATTTAAAAATCAGAATTGATATTAAAATCTGTATTTCCAGCATTTCAAAACTCGTTAAGATCTGGCGACACAGAGCCCAACTGGCAGCTGGCTGGTAGTGAAATATAAGGTGCTTCTTTTAGATAGGGCAGAAGCTCTCCAAGCAGCGCCCCCTCACTCACCCCCGGGGCGCCTGGCGCTCTTCTCCTGGGTGCTGAAGTACAAGGTAGACTTTCTCTTTCGCAGCTTTATGTTCTTGTGGGAGCGGTTCTGGAGACCAAGCAAAGTGAGGCTGCTATCGCTCCCGTCCCGGTCCATTCCGCACTTGCTTAGAGGCCTGATGATCCCTGGCCACCACCTTCCTGAGGCGGAAGAAAGCCGCAGTAGCGCGCTGCTCGTCCGTGCATTAAGTTTGGCCTTTGCGAGCCGCCGTCGCTCACAAGGGCGGAAGTAACCGGGAAAGGGCAACTTCCTCGCTCCAACCCCTCAAGGTGGTCTTGCGCTGCTTCGCGTTGCGGCGAGCTAGTCGGAGTTTTCCTTTCGGCATTTCCAAGCCGAGGGATTGCTGCTCGCCTTTGGTTTGGCGGTCTTTGTTCTCCGGGGTCGGAAGACTGCCGGAACGAGCCCGGTATCATCTCTGGCGGGGAGCGGGCGATAGTGAGTTACCGACAGGGAGCAGGCGAGGAACAGTCGGAGGTGCCCGAGTGGTTATTAAAAACGGTAATGATAATTAGAAACCTCAGTGTTGGTGTAACATTTCAGTTTCGGTGCTCTCACAAAAAATGCCTGTTGAACGAGGCGGGCAGGGTAGGGGTGATTTAGCTTGTTTTACAGATGTAAAAACAGGCCCAGTGTTTCCTATGTTTTTTGTTTTAAACACCTAGCAGCAAGGTTGATGAAGTTGTGATCTAGTCAGCCACAGGACCCAAGAGGAAGCAGGTCTTTCTTCCCCAGATTAGTTTAAATTACATTCCAGGAATACCAGAGCAAGCTAATTTCTAGTACTGGTTCTGCCACTAATGATTTTTATTACCTCAGGGGCTGGTTTAGGATGCTGTAAAGTATTGTTCTAAAGAAAACAGGTACGGCCGGCGCGGTGTAATCCCAGCACTTTGGGAGGCCGAGGCTGGCGGATTACGAGGTCAGGAGTTCGAGACCAGCCTGACCAACATGGTTAAACTCATCTCTACTAAAAATACAAAAATTAGCCGGTTATGGTGACGCTTGCCTGTAGTTCCAGCTACTCAGGAGGCTGGGGAAGGAGAATCGCTTGAACCTGGGAGGCGGAGGTTGCAGTGAGCTGATGTTGCGCCACTAGACTCCAGTCTGGGCGACAGAGCGACATTCCGTCTCAAAAACAAAACAAAACAAAAACCCAAAACATGTGTATCTTTTACTGTCCTTTTCTTAGAAACATCTATAGAGTTTCTCCGGAGACTACGGTATTTGGCAAACAATGCTAATTTTCGGAAAGTACTAGGCTCCTCACTTTTTTTCTTTTTTTTGAGACAGTTCGATCTTGGCTCACTGCAACCTCCGCTTCCAGGTTTTAGTAATTCTCCTACCTCAGCCTTCAGAGCAGCTGGGACTACAGGTGCGCTGGCTACCCTGCCTGGCTAATTTTTGTATTTCTTTGTAAAGACGGGGTTTCACCTTGTTGGTCAGAGTGGTCTCAAACTCCTGACCTCATTATCAGCCCACCTTGGCCTCTCAAAGTGCTGGGATTACAGGTGTGAGCCACTGTGTCCAGCCCACTTGTAAAACCAACCGGCAGGGCGAGGTGTCTTAGGCCTCTAATCCCAGCACTTCGGGAGGCCGATGCAGGCGATCACTTGAGATCAGGAGTTAGGAGACCAGCCTGGCCAACATGGTGAACCCTCGTCTCTACTAAAAATAAAAAGAATTAGCCATGTGTATTAGTGTGCACCTGTGATCCCAGCTATTTGGGAGGCTAAGGCAGGAGAATCGTTTGAACCCGGGAGGCAGAGGTTGCAGTGAGCCGAGATCACTGCACTCCAGCATGGGCTACGGAGGGAGACTCTCCATCTCGCAACACACACAAAACACACACCCCAAAACAAATAAAGGGCAGTCACTTTTAATTTTTTTTGGCTCTTCTAGAACTTAGTTTTATGGTATGACATTAAAGGCATAAAGAGTGTGGCTTTTCTTCCCTTTTTTTTGCCATTTTAAAAATCATACATGTAAAACCATTGAGAACATTCTGTAATAGAAGAGATTTAGCTTTGTCTTATACCCTTCCCTAATTCATTTCTGTACTCCTCATGTATTGATATTCTTGTTTTAATCAGTAATATGTTATAAAAATATTGTTCAGTGCAGTACAAAGTAATGACATAAAATCTTTTAAAAGGATATTGTATTAAGTGATGGCTTTGCTTTCCATTTTTGTACACAGATTTACAGAGATTTCCTGGACCTGGAGTGTGAATTTTTCCAAAACCACCTTTTCCTTGTGCTGTATTTCTTGCAACAATGTTTAAGAGATTGACTCTTCCACAACTGGTTTTTGCTACTGTCCTTGGAATTGCTGGAGGAGTATATATTTATCATCCAATATTTGAACAGTTGGCCAAAGATCAGAAGGAATTAAAAGAAAAGTTGCAGTTGGTACAAGAATCAGAAAAGAAAAGTTAATACTACATGGAGTTGAACTGTAATAATTGCTTAAAGTTCCATTGTAATTATGTTAACTGAAAATAATCTAGCAAAAACATAGATGTATTTTAATATAAATAAATCATGGATAATGATTTTTTAACCTGACACTGTTAATTTTAATGTTTATTGTATTTTTGTCATTTTAAATCTTTTTACCAGGAGAGATAAGTAATTTCCTTTTAAACAAAAATGAGTATTTTAGGAATATTTTCAACTTGAGGTTTGTTTTTCTGGGAATGCAGTGTATGCAGTATCATGGGGTGCCAGTCTCAGTGTGTATAAAATAATTGGGAAGAGTTTACAGTAGTGTTTGTAGGTAAGTGAACCAAGATTAACTACCTCAGGCAGAAAGCCCCTCAGTTACCCTGCAATTAGATTGGTTTAATGTATTTCGGCAGTTGATCAGTCCCAACCCTTTTTCATCTCAGGCAGAGTGATATGTAGTTGAGAATTGGGATGGCTCAGATCAGATTGAGGTTTTAGAGAAGGTAGATATTGTTTGAGAGGATGGCAGATGTGACACATGTTTGTTTAATCCACCAAGCAAATTTGCATTAATAATGTTGTTATGGAAGTAGTTTATTATGAAGCTATCATTCATATAGTTAAAATTTTTTTTGAAGTTGCTAAGAATTGCTATTACTTTTTACCCTAATCTTAAGGTTGTATTTTCTTCTTCTTTTTTTTTTTTAAACTTAAGTTCTGGGATACATGTGCTGAACATGCAGGTTTGTTACATAGATATACCTACCATGGTGGTTTGCTGCACCTATCAACCTGTCATCTAGGTTTTAAGCCCTCATGCATTAGTTATATATCCTAATGCTCTCTCTCACCTTGCCACCCACCCCCTGACAGGCCCTTGTGTGTCATGTTCCCTTCCCTGTGTCCATGTCTTCTCATTATTCAACTCCCACTTATGAGTGAGAACATGTCATGTTTTGTTTTATGTTTCTGTGTTAGTTTGCTAAGAATGATGGCTTCCAGCTTCATCCATGTCCCTACAAAGGACATGAACTCATTTTTTATGATTGCCTGGTATTCCATGGTATATATGTGCCACATTTTCTTTATCCAGTCTATCATTGATAGGCATTTGGGTTGGTTCCAAGTTTTGGCTATTATGAGTAGTGCTGCAATAAACATATGTGTAGATGTGTCTTTATAGTAGAATGATTTAGAATCCTTTGGGTATATACCCAGTAATAAGATTGCTGGGTCAAATGGTATTTCTGGTTCTAAAGCCTTGAGGAATCGCCAGACTAATTTACACTCCTACAGTTTAAAAGTTTTCCTATTTCTCCACAGCCTCGCCAGCATCTATTGTTTCCTGACTTTTTAGTGATTGCCATTCTAACTGGTGTGAGATGGTATCTCATGGTTTTGATTTACATTTCTCTAATGACCAGTGATGATGAGCTTTTTTTCGTACGTTTCTTGGCCACATAAATGTCTTCTTTTGACAAGTGTTGAGAAGTGTCTGCTCATATCCTTTGCCCACTTTTTGATGGGGTTGTTTTTTCTTACAAATTTGTTTAAATTCCTTGTAGATTCTGGATATTAGACCTCTGTCAGATGGATAGATTGCAAAATTTTTCTCCCATTCTGTAGGTTGCCTGTTGACTCTGATGAGTTTCTTCTGCTGTGCAGAAGCTCTTTAATTAGATCCCATTTGTCGATTTTGGCTTTTGTTGTAGTTGCTTTTTCATGGTCTAGTCGTAAAGTCTTTGCTCATGCCTATGTCCTGAATGGGATTGCCTAAGTTTTTTATGGGATTTCTAGGGTTTTTATGGTTTTAGGGTTTACATTTAAGTCTTTAATCCATCTTGAGTTAAATTTTGTATAAGGTATAAGGAAGGGGTCCAGTTTCAGTTTTCTGCATGTGGCTAGCCAGTTTTCCCAGCACTGCATATTAAACAGGGAATCTTTTTCCCATTGCTTATCAGGTTTGTTGAAGATGAGATGGCTGTAGATGTGTGGTGTTATTTCTGAGGTCTCTGTTCTGTTCCATTGGTCTATGTTATATGTTTTGGTACCAGTACCATGCTGTTTTGGTTACCATGGTCTTCTAGTGTAGTTTGAAGTCAGATAGCATGATGCCTCCAGCTTTGTTCTTTTCACTTAGGATTGAGGATTGTCTTGGCTATCTGGGTTCTTCTTTGGTTCCATATGAAATTTAAAGTAGATTTTTTCTAATTTTGTGAAGAAAGTCAGTGATAGCTTGATGGTAATAGCATTGAATCTGTAAATTACCTTGGGCAGTATGGCCATTTTCATGATTGATTCTTCCTATCCTTGAGTATGGAATGTTTTCCCATCTGTTTATATCCTCTCTTATTTCCTTGAGCAGTGGTTCCTTAAAACATAGTAATACAAAATGAGCAAAGTGAAAAGTGAAAATTTTTAATAAAAGAAAATGAAGAAATCACAAAGTTATACATTGATCACCACTATCTAGTTCTAGAACATTTTCATCACCCTATAAATTTTTTTTTTTTTTGAGGTGGAGTCTCACTCTGTTTCTCAGGCTGGAATGCAATGACACGATCTTGGCTCATTGAAACCTCCGCCCCCTGGGTTCAAGCGATTCTCCTTCAGCTTCCTGAGTAGATGGGATTACAGGCGTGTGCCACCATGCCTGGCTAATTTTTGTGTTTTTAGTATAGACAGGGTTTCATCATATTGGCCAGGCTAGTCTCGAACTCCGGACCTCAAGTGAGCTACCCACCTTGGCCTCCCGAAGTGCTGGGATTATAGGTGTGAGCCACCATCCTTGGCTCATCACTTTAAAAAAGAACTCCACTAGTAGTCATTTTCCATCCTGCCTTCATCAGCCCCTGGCAGCCACTAATCTACTTTCTGTCTCTAGACATTTACCCGTTCTGAACATGTCATACAAATGGAAACACCAATAGGTGGTGTCTCATGCATGGCTTATTTTATAATATATTCTACTTTTGTCCACATTATAGGATATACTTCATTTATCTTTTTGGCTGAATAATATTCCATTATACAGACATACAACTTATTTACCCATTCATCAGTTAATGGATATTTGGGTTGTTTCCACTTTTTGGCTATTATGAATAATGCTACAAACATTCATTTACCAGCTTTAGTGTGAATACATATTTTCAATTATCTTGGGCATATGCCTATAAGGGGAATTGCTAGGCTATATGGTAACTCTATGTTTAACTATTTGAAGAACTGCCAAACTTTCCCAAAAGGAAATTTTTGTATTTTTAATAGAGACAGGTTTTCATCATGTTGGCCAGGCTGGTCTGGAACTCCTGACCGCTTGCCTTGGCCTCCTACAGTGCAGGGTTTGCATGTGTGAGCCACTGTGCCAAGCCCCTGAGCAAGTTTTGAGTCAAGAAGTATTGGGGCCAGGTGCTGTGGCCCACTCCTGTAATCCCAGCACTTTCAGAGGCTGAGATGAGTAAATCATGAGGTCAGGAGTTCAAGACCAGCCTGGCCAACATGGTAGAATCCTGTCTGAACTAAAAATACAGAAATCAGCCAGGCGTGGTGGCATGTACCTGTAATCCCAGCTACTCGGGAGGCTGAGGCGGGAGAATCGCTTGAAACTGGGAGGTGGCAGTTGCAGTGAGCCGAGATTGTGCCACTGCCCTCCAGTCTAGGCAAAAGAGTGAAATTCCATCTCAAAAAAAAAAAAAAAAAGTATTGGTTTTTTAAAAAAAAAAAAATGAAACAAAATCTGTATCACAAAAAATCAACCTTGACCATTTTAAAATGTACAGTTACTTCTGTGACATTTCATAGATTCTCAGTGTTGTGCAAATACCCCTTATATCTACTCCCGGGAAATTTTCATTAACTCAAATGAAACCTCGTGTGCAATAAGCAGTCAACACCTCATTTCTTCCTCTCCCCAGCCTCTGGCAACCACTAGTCCACTTTCTCTCTCAATTTACCTGCTCTGGATATTTTATCTAAGTGGAATTACATGATATGTGACCTTTTGTGTTTGGCTTCTTTCACTTAGTGTAATTTCTTTTTATTTTTGAAGTTCATCCATGTTGTAACGTGTCAGTACTTTATTCCTTTTTATGGCTGAATCAAATGCCATTGTATGGATGTGCCATATTTTGTTTATTCATTCCTTGATGGCCATTTGTCTGCAATTCTAGGCTATTGTAAATAATGCTGCTATGAACACCTGTGTACAAGTATTAAATATTTGTTTGGATGCATGTTTTCAATTCTTTGAGGCATAGTTCTAAGAATGGACTTGCTAGGTCATCTGTTTAACTTTTAAAGACTCATCAAACTGTTTTCCAAAGGGACAGTACTATTTTACATTCCCAGTTTCTCCATGTCTTTGCCAAATCACCCCTTTCTTTCCTCCCTGCCTTCCCTTCTTCTTCCCTCTCTCTCTTTCTCTTACTCTTTCTTTCCTTCCAACCTAGTGAGTGTGAAGTGGCAGCTCATTGTGGTTTTGATTCACATTTTCTTAATGAGTAATAACATTGAACATCTTTTTATTTCTTGTTGACCATTTTTATGACTTCTGTGGAGAAATGTATATTCCATTGTATTCATATGCCCACCTTTTGGTTGGGTTATGTCTTTTTTGTTGTTGAGTAGTTACAACTCTTTATATATTCTGATGCTATAATTTTGTCAGATATATATGGTTTGCAAATATTTTCTCTCATTGTGTAGGTTGTTTTCACTCTGTTGATTGTATGCTTTTATGTACCATTTACAAAAAAATTTGGTGAAGTCTGATTAATATACTTTTTTCTTCTGTTGCTTGTGCTTTTGATGTCAAATCAAAAAAATACCATTGCAAATCCAGGCCATAAAGATTTATGCCTATTTTTTTTTATCTAAAAGTTTTAGAGTTTTAGTTCTTATATTCAGCTATTTGATTCTTTTTGAGTTAATTTTTGTCTTTGATATAATTTTGTATATGGTATTGGTAAGAGTCCAATTTCTTTGCTTTTTCTTCTTTTTTGTTTTTTGGAGACAGGGTCTTGCTCTGTCTCCAAAACCCAGGCTGGAGTGTAGTGGCCCAATCTCAGCTCACTGCAACCTCCAGCTCCTGGGTTCAAGTGATCCTCTCACCTCAGCTT